TCGCCAAACTCATCGCGGGCTGGTGCCATGGTTTGCTGCCATATCGCGGCCTCTTGGCACGCCTCTAAGAATTTCTCTTCGTCTGCGAAATGGGCGCGGTCCGCTGCAATAGAAGCCAAAATGTCCACATCGTTGCGCCGGGTTGCAGGGTCCATTCGCCTGAAAATACCTTCCAGCTGGGAGAAGAACAGCGCTAATCGCGCAAGTACGGCTTGAGGCGGGATCCCGGAGTAAGGCATAAAGGCGCCATTGTCATTGTAGATATAGCAGAAGCCGTCATGAATCCGAATGAACCTGTCACCTTCCACAAGCCACAGGAAGAAGGCATTGTCGCCCATGAAGAGACGATCGGACAATCTGGCGCGGTATGCTGCAAGAGCAGCGGCGCCAATGCGCACCAAGCGCTCAGACCAGGCAGGGTATTTGTCGGTCACTATCCGCCGGAGTTCACAAACACGAGCCAGAATTGTATCGTTGGCACCTGCTGTGTCCTTGTCCTCATGAACTAAGGCCTCGTTCCATTCATGATACTGGCGAAACATATCCTCAAACTCACTCCGAGTTGTCTGTGCCCCTTTCATGAGCCGTCTCTTCTTCACGGAAGCCAGCAAAGGATCATCCTCAACATCACACAGATCTGGGTCTTCAGGGCCTTCCTCTTTCACTTGCGTCTCTACCACTTCTGGCTGAGTCTCACACGGTTGTTCGCTCAAGGCTCTGCCTTGCGAAGGCTGAGAACTATCTAACGCACCGCCACAAACATCTTTCGCTTTTTGCTGCCAAATCTTCATGATCGCCTCAATCTCGGCCTCCATACGCGGCACTTCATCAATGAAAGGGTCCAGTTGCCTGTCTGGATGAGTGCCAACAATGAACATTTTTGAAACCTTGTACCCGTAGTACTTCTCAATGATGTGCCTGTAAGCGTTCAACTGAAGTCTGTAATGTGACCCAGCGCAATCGGGAATGCGGCCCAAGGGCGGCAACATCGCACAAGGCGACCAAAATTTTTCTGCCAAATTCGCAGACCTTTTCCAATCAATCAGCGCCAGTGAGCCTTCATTGTCTACGGCACAGAAATCTATAGAGCCAGCTAGATTTTCATTTTCGGCGAAAACAACCCATTCAGTCCGGTATGCCCGCCACCCCTGCATTTTGTCGAGGAATTTGATCAGCATTCTGAATTCAGGACTGGTTTGCGGCACTGCATACCCATTGATATGGGCTTCAAACAGATAATGCATATAAGAACCACATGCAGCCGCTTCACTGCCTTTCATCTTCCACATTGTCTTGATCTCGTCTGGCCCCAAGGATAAACTATGACTGAGGCCTGGGAACTGCGGCTTCAATGCTTGGACCCGTTCACAAATCCACGGGTCGTTGCGTGGAACATCGAGCAACGCAAGAAGAAGGGAAGGATCAACCGCGCGCACCCTCTGCAACACGGCCTCCGTCATAACGGGACGCAAATAATTTGGTCGGGGCCAACGGTCACTAGCCATCATGCCGCGGATAACTGCATCCGCATCAAAAGGACGCGAAAAGGCGTGAATCATCCCCGTGACTGATCCTTGCGTCTTCGATCCATCAACAAAGTACTCGTGGTTTTCCTGCTCAAAACGGACATGAACGTCGCGACCGTGCGGGTGGAGCCAAGCCAAGGTCGTGAGGTCTTGACAAGCCACGAAATGCTCATAGTTGAATGGCACCAACCCGTCTGCGCCATCACCACGGATTGGCAACTCCATCCCAGTCTGTGTCCACGTGATAAGCTTCTGAATTTTCCGCTTCCGGGCTACTTGTCTATTGGCTTGGATCGCGGAGGGCAAATCTCGAAGTGTGCTTCCGCCACAAACATCCCCTGTGAAACACTGCCGCAAGCCGCGGCATAGCGGCGCTAACTCGCTGCGCACTCTGTATGTGGAAAGCATTCGGGCATTTAAAAGGAAAAGGGTTACCCATGACTCTGACAGCCTCTCCCAACAACCATCCATGAGAGAAGCCCTTGTCTCTGAATCGCAGCAACATAAAAGAGGCGTCTGGTCTCTCGCATCAGGAACCAAGGGATCGGCGCCCGCCAAGAGCAACTGTTTCACAAGCAGAACATTTCCGCCCATGGCCGCCAAGTGTAACGGCGTTTCTCCGCCAAAGTCTTGCACGTGCACATCAGCTCTAGAATCTAACAACAGCTGCAAAGTTGTTGGAGTATTTTTCAGGGTGGCCAAGTGCAAGGCGCTTCGACTGTCGTTGCCAACAACCCTCGGGTCGGCAAAGGCAGACAGCAGAAGGTGAACGCAATAAAACAAACCAGCTCCAACTGCAGTGAGTAGTACCGCCTCTTGGCGCCCAGTTCGCCGCACAATGCCTGAGCAATTTGGCTCCTGGCCTGCAGACAAGATTGCAATAATTGTATCATGCTGCTGTTCTTGAACAGCCCAAGACAAATCCAGCCTATACTGATTTGTTCTGGCGTGAAGAACGACATCCAGCACTGGAGGGGGCGGGAACCCAACCACGGCCCAGATCGCTCCCATGGGGACCACCTTGCCTTCCAGGACCAGCGACACAGCAAAGGGAAGATGCCCATGATGGCGAGCAACATGCTGCTTGAGATCAAGAATTGTGCAATCTTCCGTGACACTGAGGCTGCATATATGCTTTCCTGTGCAAGCCAAGACAAACGAAACTGCGCTGCCCCCTTCCACATCCCAACACGGGCGTTCCGATTGAAACGATTTAGACGCGCACCACAAACTGGAAGGACATCCGTATTCTGCCAAGATTGACAGTATGCCCTGCAAGAGGGTAGCAGCATCGACACGATGAAAATGGTATTCGAGGCAAAGGGATACAACAGGGCCACAGCAACGCGCTAGTGTGTACGGAGACGAATACCATGCATTTTGCTTCAAAGGATTTGCCCTATGAGCGAGCAGCATGTCAGCAAAGGCCGCGTCTTCGTAAGCAGCTGCATAATGCAAGGGCGTGTTTTTAGCCGCAGTATTGTCTTCTAGATTTGGGTTCGCCCCTTGCCAAAGCAAGAAGGAGGCACAGGATTCTGCGTCGTGAATCACAGCGGAATGCAAAGGACCTTTTTGTCCAGGAGGGACATAATTTACGTTGGCTTGCGCTCTGACCAACATCCTCACAATTGGGAGGTTGCACTGCTGGACTGCAGTGCCTAAAGCAGAATTGATGATGGTTGTATCCGGGTCCTGACCCATCTTCAGGATTTCTTTGACAGCACCGACATCATCTTTCTCAATGGCATCGAAGAGGTCGTCTGCCCAATCTAATGCTTTGGGCTTTTTCACCATTGTGACTATGCTTGGGCAACCTAAGTCCTGCCAAGTGGCCTCCTCTTCAATCAATTGGTCTGACAAGAGGAAATGAAGGGCGAAGTATGGCAGACCGAAGGCTTCGACGGCACTTGTGCGGGCAAGATGAAGGAAACTTTCGTCATCTTCCAACCAGTCCGGAATTGAACACGACAACACACATTCACCTGTCAAGGCAGACAGCACCCTGACATCGCCCCACAATGGCACGCTTCCGCCGCACACATCATGGCGCGCCATATACCTTCCTTTTGGCAAGCTCTTAGCCTGAAACGTTCGGAGGAAAAGCTGCATCCGGACATATCTGTAGAACAATCCGTCAGGCATGCAATTGGGACGCAGACAAGACGTCCTGGTTGCGACTGGCAAACTAAGGAAATGCATGAGGAGCCAAGCGCTGGCCAATTTCTTGACCCGATCCCGGTGACTAAGCGCGATGTTGGATGTAGACAACACATCCAAAAGCTCCGGTTTCCGTTGAATTTCAGGCCAATAGAAGGTCAACAGTAAAGCCTCCAGTTGCACCACCTTCATGCCTTTGATGAGGTGAAGAAAGAGAGAACAACATTCCAGCCGAAGCTGCCATGCAAAGGCCGTCTCCTGCGTGTCAAAAGGCACAGGCAGGATCCAAAACGCGTTGGGGAATCTTTCCAAAGTTTTGCTGAGCGGAAAGATGGCTCTGTGAAAATCTTTCAGTTGCAGCCAAACTCGCGGGTTGTCATACTGCTCGTTCCTCCGGAACAAATATAGATGTCGCAGCATTTTTGTGGCGGTTGTCTCTGGCATGGGTTTTAGGCACAACATCGGCGGTGTCTGGCTATGAACCGTTTTTGCGGCGGTTGTCTCGGGCATTGGCTTCAGGCACAACATCGGCGGTGTCTCGCTATGAACTGAGTCCGGCGGCTGAGAGACAGGCGCTCCCACGGGCGTGCAAAGTATCTGCGCCAGTGAGATTGGACGTGCGCCCCCACAGACATCAGTGCTTGGCTTGGCGACATGTGAGGCGAAAGGAATTAGCTTGAAGACCGCTTCAATGGAGGAAGGCCTGAGAGTAGGCGAGTCCAACCCTACATGGGTCTTGTGATTCATCTGCAACCGCCACTCACCATCCTCAAACACGCGAAAGCCACTAAAATGCTTGCGAGCGTATATAACATACTTCCCAGGTGTGAGCTTGGAAGCATCGCAAGCCCCAAGCGGAAGGAGGGCATACCTGCCAGCCGAAAGGATGAGTGAGATATGAAGAACGGTTTTTAACTAAATTAAAGCTACGCTGTATATCAACAGGGAAGCAGTGCGACATAAACTTTTTTGCTAAGGCGCCCAAATGGGGCCAGCATCTCATCTCCATCTTTCAATGCCCAAAATGGCCCCGCTTTGGTGTACGGGACCTTGATACCCACAGACCGAAGCGAATCGACAAGGCAATTGTCTGCAAAATGCATAGGTCTGGCGCTTTTGGCTCCTGCTGCGAGGAGAAATCGAACAGTGGCAGTTTTTTCAATCACAAGAATGCTGTGAACAACCATCAGCGCCCGGAAACTTCGATTACACAAAAGCCCTGACTATAGGCACCTGGGCTGAAACTTGTCTTGGACTTGGGCTTGTCTTCGGGACCTAAAGCGGCTGCGAACACACGCCCAACATGTCATACTGTCATTACTGAATTTCATTCAACACAGACATTCCGGCCGAGGGGCAGCGAGCAGGCCGCGATGAAATTTCATGAGCAGCTATCGCCATGTACTCATCTAACACCTTGTCCAAATTGTAGTCTTTGCGCCGGCGACAACGTTCGGCCCCAAGGATTGCATTGATGTGGACGTTGCACCAATACAGGTCTTCGAACCGCCGACGTTTTTGACGCTTTGAAAGGCAAGGCCTTGGCTGAAAAAGGCGGGGGCTACACAGCGTTGTCACCGACTGAATTTCAACCTGTTAACTATTAACCATTCATCTGGGCAATACCATGTATATGGACCGCTTCACTTCAAGGCACGCTTTGTAATTGGCCAGTGCCTTGCCCTTGTCTGACCTCAGCCATGGGCTTCGCAACAAAACACGTAAGAAATCATTTGTCCGGCGTCGAATCAAAGCTCTCCAAATCAGCCCAGTCACTGGAGCCGCGCAAGCAATCGCCTTAGTAAAACGGAAACAAAATACGCATAAATTTCTTTTATTGTCCTTCGCAAAATCAAACACTTCCTCTGCTGCTGGGAGGCTCTTGGTCATCCTGCGGGCTGGAGAACCTCCAGAACTGCAGAAAGGTTGGAAGTTGAAGGGTGCAAAATTCAACACCATGCCACGCAACCGCATATACATAAGCCGAAGCGCACAGCCAGGTGGTCATCATCTCGTTCACCTGCCGCGTTTCCATCGGGCTCGGAAAGCATCCTGCGGTAAGCGCGTGTGATTGTTTCGGGCGCATCTGTCTTTTTGGTCAGACGTGCAGCCAAGGCTCTCCAACTCATCTCTTCGCACCCCTCGGTGAGGCCTTGGTCGTGAAGGAACAGCGAACGTTTAACCACAGAGATTGTCACACAGTTCTCTGTTTTCTCCTGTCAAGCTACGGCCCGCGAAACTTTCGATAGAACTGCGGGCGTCCAACTCGTTGCGGGAAAGTGGTGGAAGCAGCAGGCATTCCCAAGGTGGAGCGGCGCCTGGTCAAAATGTTCCACACCAAATCATCACCTTGGTGCGCGGCAAAACTAAAACCCACATCCGCCTCTTGCGAGCAACACTTGTCAAGAAGGAGCCCAAACCCTGCAAAGATCACGTTAAAGGGTGCAGCCGGGACACCCCTCCGGGCCTCTACCCACAACCCTGCGCCTTCTTCAGATGGCCGTGCAGCCTCCAGCCGCTTGCCAAATCGAACAGGCGCCCCTGACAGGGCATGGGCGAGCAGAATTCTTTGCGCTGCGACCAATTGCAGCGAAGGCACATCGGTCGATGGTTGCGGAGCCACAAGCAGTTTGATGCAAAGAGAGAAGAGCTCGGCCAAATAGAACCGAACAGGCCCGGGAGGAGGCTGCCCTGATGGGATCGAAGGCAGCGCTTACACCTGCAAAGAAACTGCATAGGACATAGGATGTTTAAAGTTCCGAGCGCGCGCAACACATATAGTCAAGAGCTTCATTGAACCCACGCAGTGCTGCTAAGAACAATCGCAGATGAAGCCAAGGCACCTCGTGACTGGTTCAAATCAAGCGACATCATGGCTGAAAGAGCAATTTGCGATGGTTCACGGCGGTTTGCGATTGAGCAAAAACGTGCTTCCCGGAAGAAAAGGATAACAAAGCTATTGTCACAGCATGCGGTCCCTGCAACGTTGCTGGCATGAAGACGGCGCCAGAATGATGCAAGTCTGTCACACCTGGCCTCCAAAACCAGTTGCGCCTGCAGCAGCTTCTCGAACCAGCCTGCAAAATCAATATACAGAGTTCAGAAAGTAGGAATGCGATGTGCCCAGCACCTGGCCACACTGCCAGAGTCTCAAGCGTCAAAGCGGCACTGATGCGATCAAAGGTTGCAGATCCTAGGCGCTGAGATACACATCCCACACGCTTGAAAGAAAACATGAAACTGGAACTGCAGGGCCGCATCCATAGTTTTCATTCAACAAGTCAAGCGTAGGGCAATGGAAGTATAAGTTTGAACATGTTTGAACTGTCTATCTGCATCGCTTAATGGTGGAAAAGCAGGATGCTGCGCGGCGCGACAAGAGCTTGCCATAATGCATGTTTTGTACAGTTACAGTCGCAGCGCGCTCTGGTGGATCAGGCACATGGTTCCCTCCAGCCACAAAGCCAGACAGGGATACTCCCCTACCAGCTCCGCTACCGACATGCAACAGCAGCAACACCAGCCCCACATCCGATATATTTCGGTGACCGATAAGGCTCCCTTTTCGCAATTTTTTAGGGTGGGTGGGTTCTAGCTTGTAGCCAAAACGACAACTGCCCTCACAGAGCTGTTATACCTCTCTTGTTTGTCGGCCTTTTGGTTTCTCATAGACCATCTCCAGCAGACAGTTCGGCCGTGTTGCCCAAAGCAAGCAAAGGCACCATCAAGCATGTGATTCCCTCCTGCGAAACCAGCTAGGAATACTCCGCTACCAGCTCCCCTACCAGCTCCGCTACCGACATGCAACAGCAGCAACACCAGCCCCACATCCGATATATTTCGGTGACAGATAAGGCTCCCTTTTCGCAACTTTTTAGGCTGGGCTGATTCCAGCTTGTAGCCAAAAAGACAACTGCCCTAACAGAGCTGTTATACCTCTCTTGTTTGTTGGCCTTTTGGTTTCTCATAGACCATCTCCAGCAGACAGTTCGGCCGTGTTGCCCAAAGCAAACAAAGGCACCATCAAGCATGTGATTCCCTCCCGCGAAACCAGCTAGGAATACTCCGCTACCAGCTCCCCTACCAGCTCCGCTACCGACATGCAACAGCAGCAACACCAGCCCCGCATCCGATATAATTCGGTGACAGATAAGGCTCCCTTTTCGCAACTTTTTAGGGTGAGTAGGTTCTAGCTTGTAGCCAAAACGACAACTGCCCTAACAGAGCTGTTATACCTCTCTTGTTTGTCGGTCTATTAGCTTCTCACGCAGCATCCGTCAGTCTAGATTGTACAATGAAACATGAATGGTCCCTGCCAAATCAAAAATATGTCATATGTACTATACCATCATATTTCAAAGGTTTTCTGTTTTAGAAAAAGAACTATATGTTAATGGGAAAAATGCAAGCCAAGAACAAGAATATACAAAAAAGTACAACCAGAAGCTTAAAAAACAAGCTTAAAAATGTTAAAAAGGTAAGTCCACCAAAGCAAATACAAAGGCAAAAGCCAAGAAGCAGGCGCAAAGGCCAAGAAGCAGGCGCAAAAACGAAGACACGGGCGCAAAGGCCCAGAAGCAAGCGCAAAGGCCAAGAGAAAGGCGCAAAGGCCAAGAGACAGGCGCAAAGGCCAAGAGACAGGCGCAAAGGCCACGAGACAGGCACAAAGGCCACGAGACAGGTGCAAGGGCCAAGAGACAGGCACAAAGGCCAAGAGACAGGCGCAAAGGCCAAGAGACAGGCGCAAAGGCCAAGAGACAGGCGCAAAGGCCAAGAGACAGGCGCAAAGGCCAAGAGACAGGTGCAAAGGCCAAGAGACAGGCGCAAAGGCCAAGAGACAGGCGCAAAGGCCAAGAAGCAGGCGCAAAACCAAGAAACAGCCGCGAAATGTAAGAAGCAGGCGCAAAGGCCAAGAGAAAGGCGCAAAGGCCAAGAGAAAGGCGCAAAGGCCACGAGACAGGCGCAAAGGCCAAGAGACAGGCGCAAAGGCCAAGAGACAGGCGCAAAGGCCAAGAGACAGGCGCAAAGGCCACGAGACAGGCGCAAAGGCCAAGAGACAGGCGCAAAGGCCAAGAGACAGGCGCAAAGGCCAAGAGACAGGCGCAAAGGCCAAGAGACAGGCGCAAAGGAGACAGGCGCAAAGGCCAAGAGACAGGCGCAAAGGCCAAGAGACAGGCGCAAAGGCCAAGAGACAGGCGCAAAGGCCAAGAGACAGGCGCAAAGGCCAAGAGACAGGCGCAAAGGCCAAGAGACATTAAAAGGATTAAAAGGATTAAAAGGATTAAAATGATTAAAAGGATTAAAAGGATTAAATCATTTAATCTTTTTAATCCTTTTAATCATTTTAATCCTTTTAATCCTTTTAATCCTCCAGAGATCGGGAATCTAAGGCCCAAGCATTGGATTAAATTATTTAATCCGTTTAATCCTTTAATCCCCCAAAGGCTCTGGAGGATTAAAAGGATTAAAAGAATTAAATCATTTAATCCTTTTAATCCTTTTAATCCCCCAAAGGCTCTGGAGGATTAAAAGGATTAAACGGATTAAAAGGATTAATTGGTTGGTCCTCACATTGGGGTTTTGGAGGCTCTGGAGGATTAAAAGGATTAAAAGGATTAAATCATTTAATCCTTTTAATCCTTTTAATCCCCCAAAGGCTCTGGAGGATTAAAAGGATTAAAAGGATTAAATCATTTAATCCTTTTAATCCTTTTAATCCCCCAGAGATCTGGAATCTAAGGCCCAAGCATTGGATTAAATTATTTAATCCGGTTAATCCTTTTAATCCCCCAAAGGCTCTGGAGGATTAAAAGGATTAAAAGAATTAAATCATTTAATCCTTTTAATCCTTTTAATCCCCCAAAGGCTCTGGAGGATTAAAAGGATTAAAAGGGTTAAACGGATTAATTGGTTGGTCCTCACATTGGGGTTTTGGAGGCTCTGGAGGATTAAAAGGATTAAAAGGATTAAAAGGATTAAAAGGATTAAATCATTTAATCCTTTAAATCCTTTTAATCCCCCAAAGGCTCTGGAGGAGGATTAAAAGGATTAAATCATTTAATCCTTTTAATCCCTCCAAAGGCTCTGGAGGATTAAAAGGATTAAAAGGATTAATTGGTTGGTCCTCACATTGGGGTTTTGGAGGCTCTGGAGGATTAAAAGGATTAAAAGGATTAAAAGGATTAAATCATTTAATCCTTTTAATCCTTTTAATCCTCCAAAGGCTCTGGAGGATTAAAAGGATTAAAAGGATTAAATCATTTAATCCTTTTAATCCTTTTAATCCTCCAAAGGCTGTCGAGGATTAAAAGGATTAAAAGGATTAAATCATTTAATCCTTTTAATCCTTTTAATCCTCCAGAGATCTGGAATCTAAGGCCCAAGCATTGGATTAAATGATTTAATCCGTTTAATCCTTTTAATCCCCCAAAGGCTCTGGAGGATTAAAAGGATTAAAAGAATTAAATCATTTAATCCTTTTAATCCTTTTAATCCTCCAAAGACTCTGGAGGATTAAAAGGATTAAAAGGATTAAAAGGATTAATTGGTTGGTCCTCACATTGGGGTTTTGGAGGCTCTGGAGGATTAAAAGGATTAAAAGGATCAAAAGGATTAAATCATTTAATCCTTTAAATCCTTTTAATCCCCCAAAGGCTCTGGAGGATTAAAAGGATTAAAAGGATTAAATCATTTAATCCTTTTAATCCTTTTAATCCTCCAAAGGCTCTGGAGGATTAAAAGGATTAAATCATTTAATCCTTTTAATCCTTTTAATCCTCCAAAGGCTGTCGAGGATTAAAAGGATTAAAAGGATTAAATCATTTAATCCTTTTAATCCTTTTAATCCTTTTAATCCTCCAGAGATCTGCAATCTAAGGCCCAAGCATTGGATTAAATTATTTAATCCGTTTAATCCTTTTAATCCCCCAAAGGCTCTGGAGGATTAAAAGGATTAAAAGAATTAAATCATTTAATCCTTTTAATCCTTTTAATCCTCCAAAGGCTCTGGAGGATTAAAAGGATTAAAAGGATTAAACGGATTAATTGGTTGGTCCTCACATTGGGGTTTTGGAGGCTCTGGAGGATTAAAAGGATTAAAAGGATTAAAAGGATTAAATCATTTAATCCTTTAAATCCTTTTAATCCCCCAAAGGCTCTGGAGGATTAAAAGGATTAAAAGGATTAAATCATTTAATCCGTTTAATCCTTTTAATCCCCCAAAGGCTCTGGAGGATTAAAAGGATTAAATCATTTAATCCTTTTAATCCTTTTAATCCTTTTAATCCCCCAAAGGCTCTGGAGGATTAAAAGGATTAAAAGGATTAATTGGTTGGTCCTCACATTGGGGTTTTGGAGGCTCTGGAGGATTAAAAGGATTAAACGGATTAAACGGATTAAAAGGATTAAATCATTTAATCCTTTAAATCCTTTTAATCCCCCAAAGGCTCTGGAGGATTAAAAGGATTAAAAGAATTAAATCATTTAATCCTTTTAATCCTCCAAAGGCTCTGGAGGATTAAAAGGATTAAAAGGATTAAATCATTTAATTGTCTAAATCCTCTCAATTTTCCAAAAGGCTCTAAATTTTATCAGAATTAACCGGAACAAAATGGTACCTAAAGGTCTCTCGATCATATATATATATATATGTATAATATGTATATATATATAGATCAAGATAGATAGACAGACATATAAATAGACAGACAGATAGATCAAGATGGATCATGGTTTTTGTTGATAACTACATTAGAAATTAGTCATGTCACCATGGACTTGTGACCCCCATGGATCACCATAGCATGACCCCCATGGTTTTCTGGATCTCAGGCACCAGTGTAGACACGTCTGCCAGGCGGTGACATGGGATTGGC